GTGGGAGCTACGCTGTGCATATGAGAGAGCCGGAGCTTGCTATCCAAGGAGGAATGTTGCCTTCAACTTTCAAGGAACAGTACACTAGTATAATCTGCAGGTGAGGAGAACTACTCCCAAGTGGTCACTAATGATCAATCGATGTTCAGATCGGCGGACCCTAAGCTTATTGCCGAAGCTGAGCGTTGCGTGAAGGCTTATCGCGCGGAGACGGTGACCGAGGTGGTCTTTATGGTCGAACTCTCCATGATCGTAGCATCTACTGTGTACCTTCTCAGAGCACCCTCGCTGACAAGATGGTGGCGATGACTCCCGTGAAATACACATCCGATTTGTGCCCTCGCAATCGGCGTGTTCGTTCATCGGAGCCAGCGGTGAAGTTAGTGAATCTTGTGGCGCAGTAAGCGTCCGTTCGCGGATCACTTGCTGCTCCGTTCAGAGCATTGCTTTTCTCAGGAAAAGAAGTCGCACGTCTACTGGCATTTCGGAGCATACGAGCTCGAGGAAGTTGGCTAAGAAATCCAAGCCGGCAGAGTGAAGTTTTCGATGAGCATAACTCGGCTTTCATCCCCACACACATACTTCACATAATAAGGTTTCCATGGTTGGATCCTCTGCCTGTGTTTAAGTTGCGATCGCTCGCCGCACCCTCCACGGAAATTCTGCGCAAAAATCAAGTCCTCTCACTGACGGCTAAAACTGATAATGACGAGCGCCGTGGAGTAACAATGATAGAGAAGTAGTTTACAGATCATTCTAGCCTAGTTACCAGTTTCATACGCTCGAGACTAGCTCGGCGGGATCGAATCTGGATTCCGATCAGGCCCTGATCTTTGCACTTCTAAGTATCAAACTGCTGTACAGTAAAAAAACATGTGCCTTGATCGGCGTAAACTGAATTATGAACTGACAAGTGATCACAATTCATCATATGCTCAAGATAACTTTACGAGAACAAAGTGATGACCCCATGTGGCAGACGGAACTCATCCAGCTAGCAACGGCGGTTCGACACCATACCGCGTACATTAGGCATACAACTACGTAAGTGTTATGATTGTGCGATGACCATTGTGCCAGGCACTGTCAAACTGAGAAAGAAAGTCCTCTCGAAGAGGTGCGTTCACTCAAACTGAATTACGGGATGTCCTCGATTCCGACGGCGATTAGCATAACTTGGCTACACACAGTGTTTACATGATACGATTTCCATAATTGGTTCTTCTGTCTGTGTTCAAGTTGCGACCGCTCACCGCACACTTCACGGAGACTCTGTACAAAAATTTATTTTTCTCACCATGGCTGAACTCGATAGGGATGAGCCCCGTCATGTAACGGTGATAGAGAAGGAGTTCACAGATTATGTCGTCCTAGCTAGTAACTAGTAGTTACTAGGTCTCCGATGCGACAGCACGGAGCTCACTGAGATTGCAACGTTATACGCACTAATATGTGGTCAGTGATTAGATCCTAGCGTCTTAGGATGACGGTCTAGAATCTCAACCTGCTGAGCTGATGAAGACCACCTCGTCTACAGGCCAAATCTATTCTTTTGGATAACTCCGAATCACCATATCTTCAGTGTAAAGAGTGTTTCATAAGCAACGGAACGATGCATTGCTCGTCGTCAAAGCCGCTCTACTTGTATCAGAATTGTTGCTCAAGCACGGACGAGCGCACACGAACAACCACGAACTGGAATGAAGCTCCGTTGGCTTCGTCTCTCCGCACCCATTTTAGATTTCGCTTATACTCTCGGAACTACTCGGTAGGATCGGATTTTAATTCCTCTTAGCCTCTCATATTTTGCACTTTCCAACTGTTGTACTGAAAACACCTGTGTCTCGATTGAATAAACTGAGTTATGAACTAACA